AAACTGACTTTCAAGACGATTAAATCTGTGCAAGACGAGGAGACCACCAAGTGATAGCGCCTGGTTTAGCCCTTGACATTTCAGTACTGCAAATGAAGCCCTGACACGTTGTCTTTAGAAGTCGTTCCCTAATTACACAGCATTGAGCACCGTCTGACTCATGGAAATTGTGGGAAGGATTATATTTAGTCTGCTGAGACTGTGCATTCTTCTCTTCGGACTGAAACACTACTGTGTGAAAATAGGAAAATATATAGTTTAATTCCTTCATCACTGTTTCCGGTTTGTTTTTCACCCAAACCAGAATCGTGAAAGCAAAACCTGCAATATAAAAGTATCAATGGCTTCAGAATATTCTGGTTGGATTTTAAATTATATGGGTGATAAATTGCTCTAATCAGAAATTAATACTAGTGACTTGAAGTTGGAGGGGTGGGGGAGCTTTCCCTAAGTCAGACATTTTCCTTCTGTCCTTGTGAATGAGCTGTTTCTTTACTACAAGTCACCCGACGGTGTATTATCTCCTGTGCATAAAAACCCAGTTGACTTGAATATGCTGCTGTGAAATTACATTTTGATAAATCTTTCTTTATTGCAATGATTACAGCATAATTGTCTTTCTCCATAAAGTAAGCTGTGGGAGGTCCTACTAACCAAAGATGGAAAATTCAGAACATATTAGAGCCATAAGCAATCCAAGAAATCATATATTCAGAAAAATTAATTCAGAGATATTATTTAAATCAAGCAACACAGGCTTTGTCATGACACCCAGAATAAGACCCCATTTTAGCTTTCCATCAAAATCTCTAGAAGAGTATTCAGTATTTATCCCATCTGTCCCAAAAGAACTTCTGTTCCAGACAAATGGGAAAAACATAATATTAATTTCTTAGCATGTGCAATATTTTTTCGAATGCTTACATTATAAAACTTAAAAAGTGAAGGAACAAAAACACATTTTTAATTTTTAAGAAATTACATAAAAATAAGTAAGTATACAAAAAAGTACAGCTTACAAGAAATTTTACATTTATTTCTCATATTTATTAACTATGAAAAAGCAGGAGAGAAAGCTGGAAAGGAGCAGACTTGGATCACATTCTGAAAGTTGTATCAAAATTCACTTAGGTTGCTAGTGGTTCCTGCAGATCTAAACTGAGCTGCTTTTAATTGCATGGGTTTTGTGCTTAGGCGACAGAATTCCGACGGCCAGCCCAAGCCTGCTGAGCATAGCCTTCCCAGGTTAGTGTCATTTAAACCAACGAATCCAGTCTAACCTTCTAACAGCTCTTTCAGAGAGCCTGGGCTGGCACCATGCCCTCTTTGCTCCAGTTCCTCCCGTTTATAAAATACTTTAATAAGCACCCTAAATCCATTTTGTTACTCTCAGAATTATAAGGAGAGAAATGTCTTTCTATCGGCCTTAAGTGACTTATTGTGAAGCACAATATTCTAAGAGTTTCAAATATTCTTCCTAATGGCCTTTTGGTGATTTCTGAAACTCTGTAAGAGAAATTAGTTTATTTTTTTTCTTGAAAGCTTATATATGTTGAACTCTGATCTCTGAGCCAGGCAGGAAGGCAGAGAGTATCCAGCAATGTTCTCTTGACTGACAACTGTCTCTGGTTACAGCAACTTCTTTTCTTAGCTCTGGTCGTTGGCATCTGTCATCCCCCTGAAATAAGAAGAGCTTTGCCTGTCATCGTCCACGTTCCTTCCAGGGCATTTCCTTTAGTATCCAACACCATACATTTCTTTAATACAGTTGTTGTTCTTCTGAGATACTAAGATTTACCATATATCAATTCTATATTTTAACTGCATTGTAATTTTTTTTTCCTATAAAGCAAGTCCTTCTAGATGCCAGAAGACTTATCTTTAGTCAGTGAGCCAAACTTCATGACTACTACCTGGAAGACAATTCTCAAGTGAAAACAGCCCATTATCACTGCAGTAAAAATTCTTCACGGGAGCATATGCCTTACAGACTGCTTTTTACCTAAACTCACCACCAAATGTGAATGGGGGAGCTACAGCCCTGTGGGATGTGGCCTTTTACTAACGTGTGAGATGAAGACATAGGATCAGGTCATAGATGCCTTTAAAAAGAAATAGAAGGTTGACAAATTAGAACTCTGGACCATAAGCATTCATATAAAATCTAAAGGAAAACGCTAGAGCTATAAATAGTAAAGAATTTTAAATGAGTGTACTTACTATGCTCTGGGCAGTTCTTGGGGCTGAAGATGCAGAGAATATACGTAGTTTCTCTGGAATTTAAGCTTTGTAAGATAACACATAAAATTTCTGTCCTCTGGGGATATAATACTCTAGAGGAAAAGCTTATGCTCAAAAGAGAAACTTGGGACACAGCCAGACCACCCTGAATGCACCAGGGAGTTTAGTGTATTAATGGTCTAATGGTTTTAATTGAATGAAAATTTTATTAGGCATTTAATAGGGGAGAGGAACCTGATAGAGCTGGAACTGAAAAAACCCTAAGTACAAGGCAAAGTCGGTGTTCTAGAGAGAGATGCTGTGTTAAAACACATCCAGGTCCACATCAGAAACAAGCTACGGCCTTTCAGCATTGGCCTGGGCTTCCCAGCAGATGAAGCAAGAAGGCTGATGAGCTTACAGTGGAGAAAAGGAGCCAGGTGTGCCATAGAGAAGCACACGTACTTTGACGAAGAGGGGTTCTTATGAAGGCTGGAAGAATGTTTAATACAAAAAGAGGAGGGAACCATGGGTTGCACACCAGACAAGAAAGATTTAAACCAACTTTGAAACACACTGGGTGATGAGCTCTCAGACTGAGGCCCAAATCAAAGGGCTGTGCGAACAGATCAAGCATTTGCCCAAACATCTAATAGTATTCCTACCATAACGAGGAGAGGCCAGAGACAGTGTGTGTCATCCTAACAGTGGACAGGAGGATTGCTTTTCTCGTGGCTATAGTTTACTCTGTCTTGTGTCAGTTGATATGTTTACGTTTATATTTTGACTTTCAGTATGTTAAAAAAAAATCTGAACTTTTTTTGTGAATATGATAAAGATATAGCAAAAAACTGGGATGAAATAATTGAGTAGTTCCTTACCACTTCTGTTTTAATAGTAACAGCAAACCTTTCAATAGTGCCTAAGTGGTTACAACATAATTCAATAATTCAATCCAACATAAATTCAAGTTCTGTGCTGATTTTCCAGTTTACCCGTAAGCTTTTGTAAAATTTGACCATGTTTCACATATATTCAAGGCTACACTTTTCCACCTGAAAAAAAGTGAAATGTAAAAATTATCATTGTTGGCAATAAGGCAACTTCTATGTAATATTTAGTTACTAGCTTCATTAATACTGGTCCTCAGTAATGGCTAGAAAACTCGAATTTAATGGTACAAATGCATAAAACAACTACATCAACTTTAATAGGACAAATACAAAAATATAATTACAAAATTGAGAAAGAGGATTAAAAGGTATGTTCTATAGAACTTTAACTTAGACACCCAAAATCATGAGAGTCTAAGTTACAAAATTATTAAAGATTGTAAATTTTCAATTTTAATACTTCCTCCCATTTTACTTCTAATGATTCAAAGCGTGTTTAATTTTTCTGTTAACTCTCATTCCCCAGTAACCTCTTAAAATACCAGTTTGTTTATGAAGACTTGTTGACCCAGGTACTACTAACTTCAAAATTATCGTTCTTCATCTGGAGACTCAAGATCCTGTAGGACTGTTTTCAGAACTTGTGAACTTTAGGCCAACAGTGATACATATATTTTTCATATTTTGATTGGCATCTAATCATTATTTTGATTAGAATCTAACAAATATTTTATTAGCATCTAATAATTATACAGAACAAAGTGTGCCATTGTGATATTTTCATATGTGCACATAATTATGTATTTTGAAGAAGGGCTGTCCATTTAGCTGTTTATTCTGCAATGGTACGAGGGTGAGCGGCACACATCATGATTTCTATGGACACCTTCGTTAAGGGCAGTTGCATTCTGGACACTCCAAACTGATCGTCCCCCACAGCTGTTCCAGCTTTCCCCATTCTCAGATAAGCTGCTGTAAAAGCCCATTGCTGGCCTAGTCCCTCGAACACCTTGAAAATGTTAAAGTTCTATTTTTCATTCCAAGAGCCTTACTTTAGGTTATTTTATTCTTGGTCTGCGGATTGAGCCACAAAGTGTTGGACAGGACAGACTAGTTTTAGTAAGAACTTAGCAACAAAAAATAAAACAATTAATGTGTCAGTTTTCTTGACTGCTAAGAATTTCAGAAAATAAAAAAAAACATAAATAGTCAGTCTATATAATAAAGAAAACAAGGAAGAATGGACATACCCAAACCTAATGTCAGGAGACAAAGAGAGGAGGTAGGAAGTGGAACCCTAAATCCCTTCTTGTTTAGATTATTCTCCTGAGAATATTGCTTACAAAAGCATAATCTTTAATGGAGATTTGGGACTCTGACCAGTTGTGATGTGGGTGCATCCTAAGGAATCCTAAGAAATATACAGAGCACACAAAGTCTTCTCAAGTCCTCAGAACATTACCATAAGAGATGGAGTTTTGGAGAGTGTTCTTTCTATACCAGTTACTATTTGAAAACTCAAGCCAGTTTCATCCAAGAAGTTCCAGACTTGCTGACTAGACATTTGCAAGGTCCATAATTACCCAGCAGAAGCCCAAGCCCTAGAAGGATCCTGAGTTTTCCATGAGCAAAGAAATGTCCTGAAGGAAGAGGTTGCAGAGAACATCTCAGAGGTAAAGACCATAAAAGTACTGACAGGCTTCGGTCTCACTAGGGCCGTTCACTTCTAGGCCCTGGGTTCCTAAAAATAGCCCTAGGGTGCACGTCCCTCTTTCTCTCTGCCCTAAGAAAGCTACAGAACTCCTCCAGGAGGAGTGGCTGCCGCCTGTGAAATCCGATGCTAGACATGAGGTCAGTTTGACCAGAAATAAAAGGAAACCACCGAGAAGAAAGACTCCACTCAGGGATCGGAGCTGCCTTCAGCTTGCTCGCCAGCCCCACTGCTGTGTTGCAGCGCAGAACTTCATCATGGTGGGTCCTACAAGGAAACAGTATGTCCTTTACAGAAGGAGACAGTGGGCAGCAGGAGCTTACTGAGGGGACAGGCAGGCAAGGAACAGAATGGAGGGGAGAACCTACTTAGTACAAGGATTTGGGAACCTAGTCCTGGTTTGATGATCATGATGAAGATAGAAGAAATGACTTCCAACTATTGCACCAGATGGAAAAAAAATGCATCTACCTCCCCAGAGCGGTCCTCTGTGCTTCGCCTGCTTTTGCCATTTCACGTGAGATTCATCCAGATTTGGAAGGGAAAGTGCGGCTTTTCACAGCAGTGAAATGCTGTGCTTCACATAGAAGTCAGTGATGACTATAGTGAAGTGCTGTGCTTTACAATAGAAAGCAATGATAACTGACAGCAAAGAGGAAGCAAAACGTATCTGATTCTTCAGTTTCGTACAGTAGTACAAAATATGTTAATTAAGCAGAAAGACTTACGGTGACTTTTATATCCCATTCTATTTGCAGTTTTAAATGTATCTTATCAGACATATGCTAAATATACACCACTATGGCATTCTAGGATGTGCTCAACTTAGCATTTTTAATATCTTTACATCATTAAGATACTGAGAAAAGATTTTTTTAATTATTTTCTGCAATAGATTTTTATGATCATAGGTTCAAAGTTGCCCTCACACACCCGTCCTGTGCTAAGAACACCTACATGGTTTCCTAACGTCTCACAGCAGACAGCACTCATTCTGTCAATGCATTTGAAAGTTCTTTCTTTCTCTCTCCCTCTTGCCACTGCAGTCCTTCAGCGCCGACCAGATTGCGGGTAAGTGATCTGTGCTGCTATAGGAAGAGCAGAGCTCTCTGCCTGTCTCTAAAATGTCACTTAACTCCACAGCATGCTCCTTTGTGGCTTAGACTGTTCGTGTCCATTCCATGCCTGGGCTCCGAAAACTGGGCTGTCTGCTGGAGCTCACTTTGAAGAGCACTCGGGAATGAGCTGGATGCACTTGTATATCAGGGTGCTCTTCTCTGGTTAAAATATATTTTGTGATTAATTTCTTTCTAACAGATCGAGTTCTCTAAGGAGCAGCAGGAGGGTAAGTTTAAGAGCCGTAGCGGTTCGTATGTGCAGACTTATGGCAAACGAGAATACCAACTCCCTTGGGATGGGCTAAGTGCTGCCTAATTTTCCACACCGGGGCTGTTCCTCTAAATAGAAATTGCTTTCAAACACTCTAAATATAAACCTGTATAACTGAAGCCCTTGCTTATAGTTAGTGACCAAAGATGTAAGGAAATAAAAAAGTAGACTATAAATCCATGTAGCTACTGATTCCTAAATAAGATGAACTTGAAGCGCTAGGAAAGATCATGGATGATATATTCACAAAAGATATAGGTTCTAGAAAACTAATTTACTTGTCAAAGGCCTAGAGAGAGATTTGATAGGCCCGGAATGTTCAATCTGAAAAACGAAACTGATTATGAAAGCTGCCCCGACGGCCAAACCTGCCTGGTTTCATTGGAAACATAGAATTGTTAACTAGAAGAGATTCACAGACAGAGAAGAATCCTAATCCAGCACTTCGTTAAGGGATATAAGACAGACAACTGGAGAAATGATAGGTCTTTCTTCCTCAATGGCCAAAGAATTAGTAATTGTGTCATAATTTTGTATGAATTCAAATGGGCTAGGCAGCTTTTCTTAGGAAGAGATGCTATCGATGCGTCTCAAACTTTTTAGGATTGAAGAGACCCTGGATGGCTTCCTTAAAACTTTAACTTTTTCGCTTTGTGTGTTTGGATTCAACAGGGTCCAATATCCCAAACTAGTTTGGTTTTTGGATTAGGAAGTATAAGGAGAATTTTTTATGGGGTGAAATCATCATAATATGTGGATAAACTAAGTAAAATGCATTTGTAGAAAGTTTAGTTATGTGTATTACATGTTAGGTGATTGGCTATAATAATGTATAGCATATTATAATATATAAGGTACAAATAACTGCGGATGATTAGTAAGTGTTCTCTATCAAAGGCTTCCACATTCTTCAGTCTCTCTCAGGATCATGTTTGCTTTGTTGTCTAGGTATCTGTTTAAAACAAAAGGTTATTTGCTGTAGTGCAAACTCACTGATATCAATATCATGGTTGTTGGCCTCATGTAGACAGTTTAGATGTCTGGATGGCTTTTAACTCAAGATCATTTAAAGTTATACTATTAAGGATTTGTCTTAAAGGAAATGATGTTTCTAATTTGTTTAAGTATATCTTTAACTGGTGATGCAGCTACATCATTAACCCTGCCTCCCAGCCTTCTACAATTCCTTACCTAGAATATTACCATGGTGCCAAACTATCACTGGATCAAACAATGAAAGATTCAAAAACCCTTGCTGAGACAAATGTACTTAGTGTTAAGTGTGAGACCTATCACCCAATATTGAAAACACATTTTAGCCACAGAATTGAATAAACATTGATACATTGGCCTGGGCTTTTTTTTTTTTGAGTCAGAAACACAAATGTAAACTATTTAAGTGAGAATTCTGTGCTTTCAGAATAAACAAAGACCACTTGAATGTGTGTCCTTGCTTAACGAATGAAGAATGTTGTTCATACATTCTATTTGGCTTAAAAGAAAGGGGAGAGAAGCAAAGAAAATTACAGCATTAGGAAGTTGTAGGACTCATGCTGTCTGTTAGCATGACCACCAGCTACATATGGTTACTTGAGCATTAATTAATTTTTAAATTATAAATGTTAAAGTCTGTATCTTAAAGTTCACCAGTCACATTTCAGTATTCAAAACCACCATTATATGGCACGTGGAGAATAATTCCATCACCAGATGTTTTGGAAATGGTGTGGTTCTGGGCAGAAGATCAGCTGATATATTCTTAAAGGTCACATATGAAAGACTGTTAAGTTCCTTGCACTGTTACAACTCCACTCTGTTCTTGGGGTTAATCAAAGACTACAAACAATGCATATACACAGGATCATGGTGAGATTATAATAAATGTTGTTAATATAGCCAGTCAAGGAAGGAGTTCTCCAGTCTGTTCTAGAGCCTTGAAGAGAAGAACTAAACCTTGAGCTAAAAGTTCAAGATTAAAAGAATTAGTTCTCTGGCCTCTGCCTTTAGGTTACTAAAAGATAATGTCAGAGCGATTCCATTACAGCCATTAAAGTGCCTTTTCTACACCAGCATCTGAGCTGTGTGACCGAGAATCCTCAGAGCACTGTGTCTGGCATCTGAAGCCAGCAGCAAAAGGAGTCCAGTTCCACGTGACCTTTAGAAAGATAAAAAATAGTATGTGACTCATGAAACCACAAGGCTCAAGCACCCTTTTTCCAGATTGGGGCAGATTATGGTGAGAGCATAGGATTTAAACAAGAATGGTAGCATGGCCTATGGCTAATTGTGTATATAGGACTCTGTGTAATCTTAGCTCCAAAGGCACTGAGATATCCTGAGACAGGACATCAGGGTATTAACAGAGTGATCTTTCCAGACTGCATATTTTGCTGGAGATTGTGGTAACCCAAAAAAGATTGTTTTCAGTTCTGAGACTTTATTCACCAACGTGTTTATTCATTCAAATGTTCCAGGGTCGTTGGGGTTAATATCTGTAAGTCACCATCAGCACTTCCAGGTTTTCCAGAAATTTTCACTGAGTTAAGTTTAGATATTTCCTTTAAAATGCCTTTACTGGCTCCTAAATCCATTTTATCCCTCTTTTCAGGCTTTTCATTATATATTTCTAAATTATTATGGTCATAATTGTGAAGGTGAAGCAGTTCGATCAAAGCAGACTTATAGGACATAAAGTAACTGGCAGAACTATTGTGGGGAGGAAAGGCAGTGCCTTGAGATACACTCTTAATTCACACACAGATGTGGATGTGAACAAAACCAGCTCAGTCCATTCATGCAAATATCTCAGTTTCAGTAACATGGGACATGTACTAACGTGAAGCATTCTGCAGAGTGCGACGTTGAAGAAAACTAGACAAAGGAGAAAATAAATTATTTCTGCATTATTTTCTTATAGCTGCATGGGAATCTATAGTTAATACCATTAAATATTAATTTTAAAAAATGTTCTTAAATTATGAAGATTTTTTGGTCATATGAATTATTTGGGGGCTAAATCAGAATTATATGAAGATATCATAATAACTGTTCCAAAAATATTTCCCTTCTGTATTAACCAAAGTAGGAGCCTCTTTGAGTCAGACACTGAGGTGGTTAAATGGCATTGTAAAACTTACAAGCTTGCCTCACACTTCGAACTTCCTAATAATAATAATAATAATAATAATAATAATAATAATAATAATAATAATAATCTATTTCTGGAGGAAACTAGTTGAAAATACAGTCTATAAAATTGATGCCCCAAAGATTTTTCTACAAACTTAAAAAAAAGTTTGGGTTAAACTCACATACAATAGCCCCAGCTGGAAATTTGCTTTCTTGAAATTTTGCTAATATTGCCAATTAATTGAAGGACTATTTGGAGACTCTCAAGTTTTCTCATGAGAATATTTTAAGTGACTCTTGCTTCCCACACAGATGAAAGAAATAGGAATTGCTATCACTGGGAGCTCCAATTTCCACAATTAAAAATTAATTCCACATTACTAACAACGTGGCTTAAAACTAGAAAGGCTGCTTCAGAACAGTTCCCCACAGAAACACCAAAGGGTTTGAAACACCAGTGACGGTTTGAAAGCCGGAGATAACCTGAGTGGTTGGGAGAAATGGGGAAGCAGAGAAGAGTTTGAAGGACCTGGGGTTAATTAGAAGGTTCCAGGAAAATGAAAGTCAGTTCTCACCAGGGCCTGAATGTCTCGTGCTTCTTGCAGAATTCAAGGAGGCATTTCTCCTGTTTGACAGAACAGGAGAATGCAAGATCACCTTAAGTCAAGTGGGTGACGTCCTTCGGGCTCTGGGCACAAATCCCACCAATGCAGAGGTCAAGAAGGTTCTCGGGAACCCTAGCAATGAAGGTAAGTTCCTCGAAGATCAGTGGAAATTGTGAAGGGCCTCCCACACAATAAACTCAGTTTGCTCCTGATGGTGGCAGCCATGCCTCTCATCACTGGGAAGCCTTAACATTTTATAATAATAATAATAATAATAATAATAATAATAATAACAATGAGTTAACTTCCACTGGGGACCTGCAAGTGTGATAAGACATCATACTAAAGAGAAATGGCATGGAAAGATGAGACCAGTATGCTCAGCATGGTGTCTAAATCCAGGGCAAAGTCCAAAGCTATACACCCTTTGAATAATCATAATGACATCCGTCTAGAGAACAACTTTTCCTTGATAAACAACGAGATAAATTGAGATAAGGCATAGATGAGCACATTTTCTTTTACAGAGTTCATACCTTCAAAGACAAAAGGACATTTTAAAGTTAGTTTAACTTTAATTAAAATACAATTGCATCATCTCCCTCATTTCCTTGTGGAGCCAATATAATAATATATTGAATGATCTTTTCTCCAACTCCTCCCACTTCTCCTCCTTCCAGCCCTCTCCGTGCTTTCCCCTCATTGCCTCTCACATTCATGGACTCTTTTCCTTTTACTGTTATTTTTATGTATGTGCGTAAATATATACACACATACGTCCAACCTTTTGGGACTGTTTACTGTTGCTTGTATGATATCAGGGCTGACCACCTAGTATTGAGTAATTTGGGGGATCTATATGTATAGATATGTATTTATGATATTATATGTGTGAATATGTGTACGTATAGTTCAGTAGTGTTTTACTATGTTTATGTTATTATAGAAAACCTTATATTGCTTCCCTGATACTTGTGGACTATAGCAAACATAGTACTAATAAAATGTATTAAGTAATCAAATTGTCCCAAGCATTTTAACAAGCTTTTTATGCCCTTGGTTCATTCAATCTCACAGTAACACTGTACAGTACTTCTATTTCAAAACTGAGAATATGGGACACAAAGAGGTTAAGAGTTGAGCCAAGGGGCTGAAGAACTCTGCAGTTAAAGGCATTTACTGCCCTCTCAGAGGACCTGGGCTACATTCAGGTCCACACACATACATGCAAAATAATTTAAAGAGAGAAAAGTAGAGCCTCATTTGGGGTACACACCTATAATCTCAGCACTTTTAAAGTGGAGTTGGAAGCTCAGAAGTCCAATGTCATCCTCAGTTCCACGGCAAGTTGGAGGCCACGCAGAGACCAGTAAGAGTCTATCTTTAAAAAAAGAACAATGAATAAAAATAAAAAAGTAGTTAGCAAAGTTGCTTACTGCTTCAGAGTTGTGTTGATCTGGGAGTAAAGCTTAGCACTGAGACTACAGAACTCATACTATTGATTGTTACTGTATTTTTGTCAGCTTAGTAGTTTACCCACTGGAATTTAAGTTGTGTGAAGATGTCTACGAACATTTGCATTTGGTGAAGATTTTCATGAACATTTGTATTTGGTTTGTGACTCAGGGGTGGTATCTTATGGTGACTATTAACCCGCAAACTGCAATCTTCTTCCAGAGATGAATGCTAAGAAAATCGAGTTCGAGCAATTTCTGCCCATGATGCAAGCTATCTCCAACAACAAAGACCAGGGAGGCTATGAAGACTTTGTTGAGGGGCTGCGTGTCTTTGACAAGGAAGGCAACGGCACTGTCATGGGTGCTGAGCTCCGCCATGTCCTTGCCACTCTGGGTAAGGAAATACATTTCACTGGGCTTAACAGGAGAGGTTGTATACCAGGAAGATCATGGCAGGAAAGTTGTGTCATAATCAAAGGAGACAGGGGAAAGACTACGAAGGAAAAATTAAAAAAATAGGAGTCAAAAGTCTGTGACTATTTCCGTTGGCCTCTGTGACAAGTGAGACTGTTTGGGGGTGAAGTAATAACAAAAAATATTGGACATGAGTTAATAAAAAATTGTACTCCTCGCAAGCTATAGTTGGGGCATGAGGGATACTGATTATTTCATCCACCCATCCAAAATCAGCTTAGGGGAAGTCTCCCAAATGCCAGGGAAGCAAGGAAGGACAAATGTTTACCCCTCGAAGGCAAGGGTTTAATCATGATTTCAAAAGACCCTGTCTGATCAATAATGTTGAGAGTTTGAAAATATTCTGTGGTCTTATTTCTAAAGCTAAGGGTGTTTTGTTTCACTAGGTGAGAAGATGAAGGAGGAGGAGGTGGAAGCATTGCTGGCAGGCCAGGAGGACTCCAACGGTTGCATCAACTATGAAGGTACAGCCGGCACGCACCTTCGCTCTTACTTGATTCAAGATACATTTCTTTCCTTTCCTTCTTTTTTCTATTCTTTCTTTCCTTCTTTCTTCCTTCCTTTCTTTTTTAGTATTTTTTTTTCACAACAGGGTTTTTCTGTGTAGCCTTGGCTGTCCTGGAACTTGCTCTGTAGACCAGGCTGGTCTTGAACTCTCAGAGATTCTCCTACTTCTGCCTCCCAAGTGCTGGGATTAAAGGTGTATACTCCCACCATCCAACAATAGATTCCTTTCTAACTTTAACTTATTTTCTTTTCTTTATTGATGTGTTTTATTTATTTTAAGTAAATGGCCTAATCCTGAGATATTTGTATGGGAACCCAAACATATATGCAGAATTAATTCCAGAGCTTTTTGGAAATCCCATGCAGACTTACAGTTTAACCTGTGTTTCCTTATGTTTTCTCTTAGCTTTTCCACAATATCCATGAGGGATAGACATGGCTTAAATTAGAATTAAGTGCAATACAACACCAGAGTTGAACAGATTTTGGAATCTTTTACTGGGACAAAAGTCATGAGAATCAAGAAACTGGAGGTCAAAGAAATATAGTTACTTTGATCAATCGATGATCAAATCATTACAGCAAGACTGGTACTGAAATTTAGTACTCTTTGTCTAGTGGCCCTGTTTACATGAAAACCATTTAATAGCTTGGTATGGTAGCATACATTTATATTTCTAGGAAGCTGAAGAAAGAAGAGCCAGCCCTGGGCTACAGAGTGAGACCCTGCTGGAAGAAGGGAAAGAGAGAGCAAAGCACTGATGAGCACACATACACACGGGTGGGTGGGGGAGCAACAGAGATACACACAGAAAGAAGGGAGAGGGAGAGAGAGAGAGAAATACCACCTCATAGTAACAAGTACTTATTTCCAGTTGCCAGTTTACAGCAGTTTTACACAAAGGGTATGAAAGCAATATATACTCAAAGTAAATATTTAAAATAAAGCTGTGTAATATTATTTGAAATTTACAGTATTCCCAATAAACTTTATCTTTCCAAATACCAGTCACATTTCAATAAATCTATGGTGTCCCAAATTTAGAACAAGCATAAGAAAAAAATAAACAAAAAAGAAAACAGAAAAGGAGGAGAAGGAAAGAGAAGCAAAGGAAATAAAGGCATACAGCCACACCAATCAATCTTTGCTATAAAGTCCTTTTTACTCAAAAGTAATTCCTCTTTGTTTGTTATAAATATATTATGTAGAATAGCCTCTAATAATATCATTGAGAAAAATTGATAGTCATCTGGAAAATAAAGTCAAATCTCAACTTCTTTTCAATTCACTTTGGCTTTTCTAACTCTCAACTATATATATTGTCCAACAGCTTTTGTCAAGCACATCATGTCTGTGTGAATGGAGTTTGGAAGGTACACACCTACTCTCTCTTTAATATGCAAGGCTTGCCTGATATTTTGCTGAAAGAAATAGCAGCTTCACTGCATATGCTTTAGATAAAATAAGTATTGCCTCCTAATCGTAGGTTATTTATATTAACCAGAATATGCTGTTCTCTTGAGACAATAGATACAACATATTTATATGCGTGTACAAGAAAATCCTTTTGCTTCTGTCTACAAACCCTGTCTTTTAAACTCTACTACAATTAAACAGTAGAAATTCAACTAACCAGAGACTAGTTGATTAATTTTAGTTGGCAAGTAACACTACTGTCCTAAATTTCTTGAATAACATTAACTTTTAACAAATACTGCTCTAACAAACTATGTTGTGATAGTTGAGGTTCAAGGGCTGACAAGCAGGTTCTTAAAGCTAGGGTGTGACTTTGCCTTGCGAGTGTTGGCTCACATTTCCTCCAGAATGTTCTTTCCAAACACCTGCTATCAACATCTAACTTGCTTCTGTTTCCCCTGCAGAACACAGTGTTTGGGAAGACTGGCCAGATGTCAGTTCAAGAACGCCCATGGCTAACTGTCCACATCTGCTTACCACTACCAAGAAGATCAAAACAACCTAGACCATTCTAGACTGAAGGGTTCCCTAAATTTTTATAAGCCGTGCGTTTTTCATAACACACAAATCAGGCATCTACTGTTCTAGGGGATATGAATAAAATATTGATAATCTCAAGTCCAAGCACCACCTTTATCATCTACTTGGGTCCACAACATTCTTAAAACACTGTATCAATAAACTTGGTCAGTCTGGAATATTCAAGTTGTGTGTGTGTGTTACTTTTTTGTTTTATGAAAATAGATTTTAAGAATTCAATTCTTATAGAAAATTATAAAAAATACTGATGAATGACAAATTTATTTTAAAAACTTATCACCGAAGGACCAGATGAGATGGCTTTGTGGGTAAAGGCATGTGTCAGCAAGCTTGAAGACCCTCATTTCATCCCTGGGATGCACATGGTGGAAGACAACGGACTCACACATTTACCCTCCGCTCAACACATGTGGGCCATGCCCTACTCCCCACATATACACACAAATGAAAACAATAAGGTGAATAAATAATAATGCAAAAAATTAAGGTCATCACAATCTACAAAGCAATAACAAATTGAATAATTAAGAGTTATATATTATTTTAAAAGTTAAATAAAGAACCAGGAAATTCAGATAGGTGCTGGGGCATTTTAATAGACTCTATAGGCAATTTAAGGTAAAACTAGGTCTTTCAAATTTATGTTAATCAGTTTTTAATGGCTTGATCTACTTCCTTTGTAGTGACAATTAGCCTATTGGAAAACTGTAGAAGATTTTGACTTTTCTCTCTGATGACTTCAAAAATAAAATCCAATGTGGTCTTTTAGCCGCTGCTTAAAACAATAAATAATAAATAATAAGCAAACAAACCTCCCCAGGGTGAAGGGATTATTGCTCAAGCGCTCAGGGTTCTGATTATTGCTATGCCTCTCCCACTACGGCGTGTTCTGCTTCCCACAAAGTGTCCGCATCTCAGCTTAGCCCGTTACCGAACATCAAAGAAGCACAGAAATTAAATGGAAAAATTTACAGAATAAGCTTTATCTCCTCGATATATGACTTAAATCTTTCCACAGCAGACCCTAGAAGTAGGAAGTATTAGCACGATGTAGGTGCCCCCACTTCCCTGAAAAGACACCGTAACAAAGAGGGCTCTGGTTTCAGAAGTACCTGCCTAGGCATAGCTCTTGGGAGGGGATGTTGGCAACTTCAGGTCAACAAACTCCTATCTAGGAAAAGGCACTTGTATTATAGTCACTAACCTGTGCTTTTGTGGCTAAGTTGGGATGCCGCAATCACGTGTTTAAGGAAAGGGAACTATGACCTCGTGAACTGGAAACACCACAGAGGGCGTATCTCGGAAAACGGAAAGCTGTGTCTGCGGTTTGCTTTAAGGGACCACACCAGTGCTGCTGAGAAGGTGAAGTGGGATAATTGAATTTTTAAGTATATTTCATATTAACTTTTTTAAGATTTTAATTTAGCGGCTACAGGTGGCTCATGACTACCCTATTGAACGATGAGGTTCTCAATACATATTTTTTTTTGTTTTCTTCTAAAATGCTTATTTCACACACATGTACAAGATTGTGTTGTTCTGGATAAGAGATGATATTTTTCTGTCACCAGTCTAAAAGTGATGGGATCTGAGAAAACGGAACTAGTAAATGACGTACACTAAAGTCTCATACACATTTATTTTTAATTATTATATGAGGTAATAAAACAGTTTTTTTAAAAAAAAACTGAAAAGGTACACATCTGAAATTGTCAATTTTTTTTAATTTAAAAAATGCTTTCAAACTGGGAGTGGTGGTGCATGACTTTAATCCCAGCACTTGGGAGGCAGGCAGAGATCTCTGAGATTGAAGCCAGCTTGGTCTATAGAGCAAGTTATAGGACAGCCAGGGTTACACAGAGAAACCGCCCCACCCCCGCACACGCAAAAAAAAAAAAAAAAACCACAAAAGTGATTTCAATAATGTGAAGGTCAAAGTGTAGAGAGAGTGATTGCTACATCACAAAGGGCTCGTTTTTTCTTTTACAATTTGTAGCTACTTTCTCATCACCTACATTTCTTTAATTTTTTTTTTTTCAGCCAGAAAACCACGGTGCCTGAGTGGTCCCAAATTGTTACTTTCAAACTCTACGCATGATGCTTTCCTCTCAAGACTTTGTGAACGTGCTTTCCCTCTCCCTGCGGGACAACTGCAGCACACTGTCATGGGACCTAACCTTATTAAATTACCAAGTGTGAGACGCCCATAACTCAAGGAGCAGCAGGTGCAGACGGAGCTGCAGGCCGAAGAGAGATAGGCGTTTTTAAACATCCCCACCAGCTGGCGAAACAACAGGTGTCTAATTCCTCAGCCTTTAAAAATAACTTTAAAAAAAGCCGGTGCTGCATAAGCAAAGATTTTCAAGTTTGTTTTTAAACCATCTTCAGGTCACCTTGCTCACAAAACGCATTATACATTGATTTTTTTTTTGTCTTGAAATTACATTTGCAACCTAAGCTCTTAAGAATTTATTCCTCTTTAGAAATGAAATAAATAATTACGATTTAACTGGAAAATTAAATTGTATTTTTGAAACTTGTAGGCAATATTTCTCGAGGAACATGACACAGTAAAGAACCTGTGGTGACCTTCCCTACCCTGTCCTCTCATGCAGCCTTTCTAATACGCGGACTCTTTTCAGTGACGACCCACACAGCTTGAAACTCCACCGAATGAAGGAAGAAAGTCTTCCCTTCAGTCCTAAGTTTTGAGAAAACCATGAGTCTACACACCTGGTCAGCAATGTCTATAACCCCAAAAGAAAGGAGATCAAACAGTAAATATCGGTCTAAAGTCCAGACTAACACCCTACAGCCACCAAGGTGACTACATCTGTGCGGCGGGGTGGTGAATAAGTAATTTCAGTTTTACACTTTGGTAAGTAATAAGTGAGTGAGGCCCAGGCTAAGAATAAGTCATGGCACGGGGAACAGTGATGGGTTACAGGACCTTGCGGTCAGCCTTCCAGCAGCTTCATACAAGGCAGATGTTCTTTTTTTTTTTAAGTTTATTAAAATATAAAAGTTTCCATTTTCGTCCCTCCTCCCAACACCCTCCCACTCCCCCCACTACCTCTCCTCTTCCCTCTCTATCCCTAAGAGCAGTCCGGGTTTCCTGCCCTGTGGGTAGTTCAAGTTCCTCCCCGCTCCCTCCAGGTCCAGGAAGGTGAGTATCCAAACAGACTGGATCCCCAAAAAACCAGAATATGCAGAGGAAACAAGTCCCAGAGTCATTGTCAATGGCTTTTTAGAAAAACTTCGGGTCAGCCACATTCAGGGAATCCAGCCTCCTCCAGAGAATCTGGTTGGATCAAGCGCTCCTTCAGTCTCAGTCAACTGGCCTTGGTGAACTCTCATTAGATCAGTCGCCTTGTATCAGTGGGCGATCGCTCCCCTTGCGGTTCTGAAATCAGAACCGCAAGGCAGATGTTCTTAAACAGCATTAGTATTTGGTGGGGAAAATTTTTTTCCTTTGGACTTTACCTCCTAACAGTGTGGACCAGAGCCACCACAGCCATGCAAAACAGAAATAGCACCCCTACCAGATCAGGCAAAGTGTGGTCCATACATGTTTTAACACCCCAGTCCAGCCTCACTTCTCACCAACATCTCACAGAGCCAAGGAACTTACCCAAGAATACACCATGCCACTCTTTCCTGGGTGGCTCAAGACATGAGAAGCCCAGATCTCCCTGCCCAAATGGTGTCAGGTCTCCTCCAAAGACAAGAGCAGGAGTCTTCGTGGGTCCAGCCTCCGACGGGCAGAGCTGCAGTAGCGAGCGTAGCCATGCGACAAAAGAGCTACAGTTGTGAGCGTAGCCACGCGGCAAAGAGGCAGCTAGTACCTTACAATACTCATTCGCTTGTGTCTTACTCACACAGGCAGCTCCTGCGAGTCCAGGACGGTGCTGAAGGCAAGAACTGAAGATAAGAAAGCTCTGTATGATGGGGCAGGTCACCAAGAAGCCAAAAATTCCACCTTGGCCTTCTTAGTTATTATGATATCATATTTTTCTGAAGAAAACAAAAAGGTCTATGCCACGGCTTGTTCGTCTGATCCATAAGCAAGTGTTTAAATTTGTACTAACTGAAGCTCTCTCAGTGCTCTTGCCTGTAAGATGTGAAGGTGGACTTTCTGAATATAAACTTAGACTTTTCGGGGACCAGTCTGAACATTGCTCAGAAATAGAGGCCTGCCTACTTCATTTAAAACATTAAGAAAATAATTGCAAAGTCCACGCTTAGTAATCATATAGCAGCATTTCAGTTATGTTTTTCCTTCTACCCTTGAAAGAACAATAATACATTTCCTTTCCTCTCCAACCTGTTGAAGAGAAAATCAACTCATCTCAGAATACTTTTATGTAGGGTGGAAGTAAGTCTATTATAATTAGCAAAGTGGGTAACTGATAATGTTTGGCAGTGAAATAAAGAATTGAAATGTGGGACTTGGGATAGTTCTGTCAGTGAAATGGTCCCCAGAACCCACATAAAAGAAACTGGAAATAGACAAATATAATTCTAGCACCAGAGGAACTGTCATCCTAGATGAGCCTAGTCGGTGAGTCCCAGGCTAAGGACAGGCCTTGTCTCAAAAAAAAATTGTAGACACTGCCTGAAAAGCTTCTGAGGTTGACTGCTGGCCTCCATATATGCATACACACATATGCAACTATACAAACATGACACACACAATATATTAAATTTGTGTGTACAGATACATATGTATAAAACATCATAAGTAAAAATGTATTTGAGATTTTTTGTTTGTTTTTGAAAAAAGTCCATCAAAATCTCAACCCCTATGCATGAAGTGTACTTCATCATCATCTATTGCCGGTGACTGGTGAAGCCGAGTTTAAACTATCATGCAGGGCCTGGATAGTTGACTCTGTCATTAAGAGTACTCATTGCTCTTCTAGAGGACCAGGGTTCAGTTGTCAAAATCCAGCGGGCAGTGCACAGTGACCTGTAACTCTAGTCCCAAGGAATCAGCTCTTCCTTCTAGTGTTCACAGGCAGCAGATCCAAATGTGATGCTCAAACGTGAATACAGCCAAAGCTGTATTTATATACACATAAAATAAGTTAATCTAAAATATTTTAAAGTCAAACTATAATTCAGCCAAAAATGTCAAACCTACACTTACTTCTGTGGATTTTTTT